GGGTGCAGATGAAGAGGTGGATTTGGGGTAAAATCATCAAATTTTTAAAGCAACTCTGGAAGCTGGTGGTCACTGGCCACTTTGTGACTAATAATGCAGAAAGAAGGTTATTCTCTATTTAAAGCCTTATTTTTATTTTTTGCTTTTTATTAAGACTGTCTTGCCTGTTCTACCACATTTGAGCTCCCTAAGGTTAAGGCCAGCTCGTGTTTCTTCTTGTCCCCACACCACCTGCCATGGAATTGCGCGCACCCTAAGCTCAGCTCCTGTGTGCATGTTGCTTCCTGCGTTTCTGCACTACACCCAGAGTGCACGTGCACACTGACCCTGCTTCCTTTGCACCTTTGACTTTGACCTTTACCTTTCCTTGTTAAAAGAGGGTTGGCCAAACAAGAATGCCAGGAATCTGGTGAGGGGTCAGCAGCAGGTCAGAGCTGGCCAAAGACATCTTCAGGAGGGAAGCCGTCTATTCTTCCTGTGCTTTGTCGTCTGTTCACGTGCCCACCCTGGAGCAAGAAATTACAACTAAGTGGCATTGTCGTATTCTGAGATAATTCTTGCAAGGGGAGAACGCTAAGCAGAAAACCGGTAAGACTGAGTCTTCGTTGTTGGTATTTGACCATGCTCCGCCAGCCCTGTTAGCTCTCAGCTGGTAAGGAAGCTGTGTATCAGAGGTATGTTCTTAATTTGAAAGTATTTATTTTATAGCAGTTACAGTTGCACTCTGACTTTTTGATTTGCGCCTAGTAATAGCCCATAGGTCCAGTAGTGTATCATTTCCTGTTACAGATCAGGGAATTGATGCACCAAGTTGTTCTTGGTGTTGTTAGTTGCTGTCAAGACAGCTCTGATTCATGACAACCCCATGTGGGCAGAGTAGAACTGTTCGTAGGATTTTCAAGGCTGTGACCTTTCGGAAGCAGATCACCAGGCCTTGCTTTCGAGGCGCCTCTGGGTGGGTTTGAACCACCCACCTTTTAGCTAGTAATCCAGGCGTAACTATTTGTACCATCCAGGGACTCCAGTGCACCAAGAAGGTAAAGGATTTGCCAAAAGCTACGAAGCTTGAACTCAAGACTCAGAGACCAGATTTAGCACAAAGTCAACTACAGCATAGCTGTCTTTGACCTAGTTCTACATGTTATATACTGTAATTGTTGGTACTCTCCAGTCGATATTCTAGAACTTTGTCTGTAACTCAGGTTAAAGGGAAATGGATTTGTACTCTGCAGTATAGCAGCACTCCTACTCTTTGCTTTCATTTTTAAATTTTTCAGAGATGCATGTTTTTGATGGTAGAGGAAAGCTAGAACATGGGTGAGATGGGGGCTGCCCCCAAAGAGAATTAAGCGATACCGCATTTTCAAGTAAACAGTTTTACTTCTGTAAGATCATTAGCTTATAAACATCGCATACTTCTAAAGACATTAAATAAACTTAAGTTTAAGATTCTAAATGTTGCAAACTAGGAGGCGGTAAGGTTCCATGAATTTGGGGACTGGTTCTTGGGTGGTGGTTGTGCAGGAAATTTGTGCGCATCTTGAAGCCCCGGTTTCTCGTGTGAAAGTCAAACCATTTCTGCCCAGACCAAGTGTGTGGTTTGTCTGCAGCGTGGACCACGGGAGGGGGAAGCTCGTTGAGGAAAGCTTCGCTGGCTTCAGGCCGCTGCTTTTTCTCCTTACCAAAATAAAGAAAGAAGAAGTAGCCGTTTATAGTTGTTCAGTTCTTTTTTCTCATGAAAACAAGTGTTTTAAAGGTTATGCCCCAGAGTGGTTTTTTTAAGAGAGCCAAGTTATTTTGTTTGTCTTTGGCCCAAGCTGTGTATCATTCCAAGGAGCCCTGGTGGCGCAGTGGTTAAGCAGTTGGCTGCTGACCGAAAGGTTAGTGGTTCACACCCACCTACTGCTCCACAGGAGAAAGATGTGGCAGTCTGCTTCCGTAAAGGTTACATCCTTGGAGACCCTATGGGGCAGTTCTGCTCTGTCCTGTAGGGTCGCTGTGGGTCAGAGTCAATTCGATGGCAACAGGGTTTTTTTATGTATCATTTGCAACCCTCTATATTAACACATTCACAAATTAGACAACAAATTAGTTCTGTCCTCTTTTATGAGTTGGTTAAACCTAAAATAGGAAAAGCCATACTCAGAGTAGCCCATGTTTGTGGCACTGAACACTTCATTATCAAAAACGCACATATCAAGCCCACTTTGGGGGTCATCTACCTTGGGATTATGAAAGAACTCCCTACCCTGTAATACGTCTGCACATTCTTTTTTTCTCCTTTCCCTTTTAGTACTGAAATTTTAAGTTCATTGCCCCTTAGGTGGTCGAAGTGATAGATTTTTTTGAGGTGGTCAGATCTGTTGTTCCTGTTCTCTGCTGTCCTTTATGTGTCGTGTGCAAATCTTTATACTTTGACCTGAAGCTTCTTCAGAAGTTTAAGGAGTCTGGGGAAGAGGAGAGCATGTCTTGGCTCTGCCATGTTCTGGATGAGTGACCTTGGGCAAGTTGCTTTCTTTGTCTGAACCTCATGGTTCTTATCTGTAAAATGGACATAAAGTAGTACCTACTTCATGGTGTCGTGAAGATGATTTCAGATGATTGGTGTACAGCTGTCAGCATAGTGTCTGGCTCCTAGGAAGCACTTAACAAATATCACAGCCACTCTTATTAATGCTTTGTTGTTAGCGGCCATCAGGTCGGCCCCCGACCATGGCAACTCCACCACAATGGAAGGAAATGCTGCCCGGTCCTGGGCCGTTCCCGTGATTGGTTGTGGATTGAACCATGTGATCCATAGGATTTTCATTGACTGATTTTTGGAAGTAGATTGTCAGTTCCTAATTGTAATTCCTGATTAATATAATTTTGTGCAAAAAATGAGGTAACTTGGGATTTTAAAGAGAAGAAATAGGTATGATATGTGGAATCTAGAGTCGTCTATTTTGCCATTTCACAATCCCATGGTTGATGACTAATAGTTTTTAGCTTGGTTCCTTGGACAGAAATTGCTAATCTCATTGTAATAAATGGGTACTTACGAGAATAGAGGAGCCCTGGTGACTCAGTGGTCAAGAGCTTGGCTGCTAACCAGAAGGTCGGCAGTTCAAACCCACCAACCAATCCTCGGGAGAGATGTGGCACTCTGCTTCCATAAAGATTATAGCCTTGGGAACCCTATGGGGCAGTTCTGCTCTGTCCTGTAGGGTCACTATGAGTCAGAATCAGCTCAGTGATAATGGGTTTTAGTGGCTTTATGAGAATAGCAAATCCGAGTGCATCATCTCCTAGAGAGGAGGGTCCGTGTTTTATGTGAAAGAGATGGGATTTGGAATCAGGGGACCAGGACTGGTCTGAGTCCTGCCACTGATACTCTACATCCTCTGGCAGGTCACCTCTCCCCTTTCTGGATCCCTTGTCTGTAAACCTGGGGAGGTGGACTGAACTCTTTCTGTCTGTGGCCCTGTTGTTGGTTACCATTGAGTTAATTCCGACGCATGCCAACCTTACCTGTGCAGAATAGAACTACTCCATAGGGTTTTCAAGGCTGTGACCTTTCGGAAGTAGTTGCACCAGGCCTGTCTCCTGAGGCGCCTCTGGGTGGATTTGAACCGCCGACCTTTCAGGTAGTAGTGGAGCGCTTAACCGTTTATTTGTACCAGCCAGGGACTCCACTAGCCATCTCTGAAGCATCTGTGCTCCTCAAACATACATGCATTTGCATGCCTGTAATGTTTGTGATCAGAAACAGGAATGTGATTGTGGTTAGTTACCTTCCAGTTACTCCACCTCAAGGCGACCTTGTGTATGTTGTTGTTAGGTGCCGTCCAGTCAGTTCTGACTCATAGCAACCCTGTAGGACAGAGTAGAATTGCCCCCATAGGGTTTCCAAGGAGCAGCTGGTGGATTTGAACTGCTGACCTTTTGGTTAGCAGCCGAGCACTTAACCACTGCGCCACGAGGGCTCCCGCCGTACGTGTAGCTGAATGAAACGTCGACCCGGTCCGTCACCATTTTCATGATCATTGGTATATTTGGGTCTGTTCTTGCGGCCGCTGTGCCAGTCTGTCTCCTGGCGGGTTCCCCTCATTTTCATTGGCCCTCTACTTTACCAAACACCATGTCCTTTTCTAGCACTTGGTCTTTGCTGATGACGTGTCCTGTTCACTGCAGAATGGGAATGTCAGGACAGTGAAACAAACGGATGATTTTTCTATTGCCTGTTCTCTAGTAAGAATAAGGAAATTTTTAAACAGTGACGTTTCTGTCTTTGAAAACATCAGCTAATTTACACGGCAGCCTAGTTGGGGTGGGACAACATTGCCGTTGTCACTTAAATTCACACAACTAATAGGGGGCTACTGTTCTGGGGTAAGTTGATTGAAAACATCGTACAGCGTCACTGGAAGCTGCTCAGTGGAGTCTGTCTGGGCTTAGCTCCCCTCCCCCTCAGCTTTTGTTTTTCAGAGCAAGGCTCCAGCAGCCTGCCTTTGCTGTGAATGAGCGCCCTAACTTTAAAAGCCTTTCTTCACTTGTTCTGGTTAACAGAGTTCCTTTATCTCCCTTCACACACATCTCAGTGGGGAATTCTAAAAGGAACGTTCTTCACCGCCTGGTGCTACATTTAAGGGCAGCTGCAAATTAACTATCTGCTCAGTGATCCCAGCAAGCAGTGTCCCTTGTAATAGTGGCCTGCGAAGTACTGGTCACTGTGAATGAAGATGACACCTTTAAATGTTTTCTTAAGTCCTTGGGCTTGGCCAGTTAAATATAAATGGATTGTTCAGTAATGCCTGCCACAGAAGAGAGTTGGCTCTGGGTTCCCAGGGTAAATCTCTTTGGGCTTTAATGAGAGGATTTCAGAGCCAGCAACACATTTCCCGTTAAGCACGCTGGGGGAGACAGTTAAGGATGTATGCTTCTGCACCACTCATATCCCAGGCGTACTTCATTTTAAGTGTGTAGCTATAGATGAGTTTTTTGTTTCTGTCCTTTTACAGGAAATTATCAGCTCCTTGCCTAAGATAGTAAATGACAAATACGGAAGGAAGGTCCTGTTGTATTTACTGAGCCCCAGAGATCCCGCACATACGGTGCGAGAAATCATTGAAGTTCTGCAGAAAGGAGATGGAAACGCACACAGGTGAGAGCAGCTAGAGCAGCCTGAGCCAGGCTTCCTCTGCTCTGGTTGTCCCTTAGTAATGAGTAGCGCGTGCTTCCACAAGTCATTGGCTGCTTCTCTCCTTCCCTCCCTCTCTGTCTTGTGCTTTTGCTTCTCTCTAAAATGTCTCAAAAGGTGAATTCCATCTTTAAGTCTAGTTTTGTCAGATTGCTACAGTTTTTATCCTAAGGAAATAAAAGAGTGTCGCGACAAAAGAACCCCCTGAGCACCTGGTACATACGCACTTAGGTCTGTGATTCTGTTTTGTTTGTGTTGCTTTATTTTAAATGCTACTGGTAACAAAAAAACCAAACCCATTGCCATCGAGTCAATTCTGACTCATAGTGACCCTGTAGGAGAGAGTACAGCTGCCCCATAGGGTTTCCGAGGCTGTAAACTTTATGGAAGCAGACTGCCACATCTTTCTATCGAGGAGCAGCTGGTGGGTTCAAACCACCAATCCTTCGGTTAGCGCTGGTACCATGTATTAAATACCCAAGAGAGTGGAGTTCGTCAAGTATTCTAAACATGGGAATTGTGGTTGCTGTTGTTCAGTGTTTGGGTTGATTCATTTCGTTTTGTGTTATACAAGGCAAGCTTCAGTACTGAGGGCTCGTGCAGTGCCAGGCACTATTCAGATCCCGAGGACACAGAGATGAAAGACAGATATATCCTACCCTCAGATCGCGCATTGTACGGGCAACGGAAAGCAGACAATTAAAAGAAAATGTGACACAGGCTGTGACAGACTTGTAAATCCATAAACCCATTGTCGTCAAGTCGATTCTGATTCATAGCGACCCTATAGGACAGAGTAGAACTGCCCCATAGGGTTTCCAAGGCTGTAATCTTTATGGAAGCAGACTGCCACATCTTTCTCCCATGGAGCAGCGGGTAGGTTCGAACCGTTGACCTTCTGATTAGCGCTGAACACTTAACCACTGTGTCCCCAGGGCTCTTTTCTGTGGTGATGAGACCTCCATATTTCCTTTACCATCTGTCTCCCTTGAATACCACAGTGGTTAAGCATTTGGCTGCTAACCAAAAGGTTGGCAGTTCGAATCCACCGGCAGCTCCTTGGAAACTCTGTGGAGCAGTTCTAGAGTGTCTTGTGGCGTAGCTATGAGTTGGAATCGACGTGATGGCAACGGGTTTGGTTTTCTTGGTTTTAATACCACATTCAACATATTCTGACAGTAAGAAAGATCCAGAGACCCGCCGGCGTGAGCTCTTAGAGGCCATCTCCCCAGCTTTGTTAAGCTACCTGCAAGGACACGCCCGAGAGATGGTGCTGGATAAGTCTGCCTGTGTGCTGGTGACCAACATCCTGGGGTCTGTCCTTGGAGACGTCCAGCCTGCCATGAACACCATTGCCAGCTTGGCAGCCGGGGAGCTGCGTCCTGGCGGCCGGGACAGAGAGGTAAATCACAAGCCAGGCAGGGGCTGCCCTGTGCTCAGTCCCCAGTCACTGAGAATGTTGCTACAGACAGAGTTTTGATAACTCTGCTGAAACGCACCCATACCAGCAGTACGTTTGGAAACCGTGACTTCAGAACCCAGTGCTATTGCAAGGCTGCCTTTCTCAGAAACTTGCAGTGACTCCGTGGTGGCCTGCAGAGTGAAAACAGAACCCTCTTCCGCTAGTTCTCTGTTGTCCATGATTGGCCCTAGGCCGTCTTTCCAGCATGTTGTTTCTCTGTGCTCTTAACTCTACTGTGGCTTTTCCACCTTCTGCATTTGCCCAGGCTTCTTCCCTCAGCCTGGGCTGCTGCCCATTCCGCCATTTCCCGGTGTCCTGCCAGTAGAAAGCCTGCCACCTCCTTCATAGTCCCCAGAATCCTTCTCCATGAAGTATCCCTAGTTTCTCCTCATTACAAATGTTTGCTCCTTCTGATACCTTCTTACTGTGTTATTTCAGCCTCCTCTTACTCTGCCTTGCATCTCGAATTCATTGACTTACACACCTGATTCCCGCTAGACGGTGGTCAGCACGGTCCTGCCCTAAAGTGTGCAGTCTTTGGAGGATGCAGTATTCAGACAGATATTCACACAAAGAATCATTTACGTGAGGATGGAGATCAGCGGTGTGAAGGGAAACTGTAGGCCCCAGGAGGGCTCCCTGCAGTGGTGATGGCCAGCCAGGGCCCCAGAGGACTAGTGAGGAGCGATGGGAAGAAGGTTCTAGGCAGAGGAGTCAGCTCGTGCAGCAGCCCTGAGGTAGGAGGAGCTGGGCGTCGCTGAGAAGAGCAGGCTCTGGGAGTTGGATATCCCTAAGCAGAGGAGGAGGGCAGAGGCCAGCCCCCACGGAGCCTTCATCCCCTGCACAGTTAGAAGCTCCTCCACAAACACGTTTCTGGAGTTCCTGCTGCTTTCTGAGGCGGTGCCTCTGCTCTCACTTGTCTTGTTTCCTTCTTACAACAGTCGGGGGACAGGGAACCATTTATGCAAGTCTAGTGCCTTTCATTCGTTCATCAGAAACTCAATAAATCCCTGCAGAATGCCCACAGAAGTGTTCAAGATTAGGTGCTGGCTCTTTGCCCTTATGGAGCTGGAAACCCATTGAGGATACACAAGACTTCACGGTCCACAGTAATGACTTCTGTTCAGGCTGTGCAGGAGTTGAATGGAAAAGTCAGAACGTAGTCCAGTCTGAGGACTTTAGCTGCGTCACTGTGGGCAGCTGTTTCAGTGTGGAAGCCTCTGGCTGCAAGTAGTGGAATACCTGATGGTGGCAATTAAGGTGTTTAGTTACCGCAGTAAGAAAACCGGTGGTGACATTTCCCCGTGATGTCCTGGCTGGCTCTGGCTTTCCTGCCCCACTGCCTTGGGGGTTGTTGCATTAGGGTCACATGCTAACTTTCACAGCCTTCGCGTCACATCTTTACATCAGTATGCCAAGTTGGGGGGAAAGCTCCAGAGCCAAAGGTGTCTCCTTCTGTGACTGAGAGGAACACTTCCAAGCAGATGTCCTCCTGTGCTTTGCTGGTCAGAATCAGGTTGCATGACTCCTGAACCAGTCCCTGGCAGAAGCAGTGGTGTTCCAGGACTGGGTGAGGGTGGGGAGGACCTTTAGAAATGAACAGAAACTGCAGAGATCGGGGAGAGGCCCACAGGGAGGAAAGCTGGGGGAGGGACATGCCTGTGGAGTGAAAACCCAGGAGCTTTGTCCACGGGAGCAAATAGCCACTGCCAGGCTTCGACCAGATGGTTAGGAGAATCAAAGATGACAGGACATCTGGGTCACAGGCTGGTGCTCGGAAGTGCTTTGTGCAGGCCTGTGCTTGAACCTGAGTAAAACTAGGACCCAGTACTGAGTGTCCAAGGCATCCCTGACATGTGGGAAAGAGAAGGGGACACGGTTCTCAGAGCAGGTCACACTAATACATTGGAAAGAGGCGGACGTAGTGAGAGTGTTCTCTGTGAGGAGACTGAGTCCATTGCCCTTGGGGCTCAAGAAGGAGCTGCCCTAGGCACCGCCGGGACTGCTGGCATGGCCCTTGGGGAGGCACCTCCGGGACTGCTGGCATGGCCCTTGGGGAGGCACCTCCGGGACTGCTGGCATGGCCCTTGGGGAGGCACCGCCGGGACTGCTGGCATGGCCCTTGGGGAGGCACCGCCGGGACTGCTGGCACGGCCCTTGGGGAGGCCCCACCGGGACTGCTGGCACGGCCCTTGGGGAGGAGTGAGGTTGGGCAGAGGAGATACTTTGGTGGCTCGCTCATCAGATAGCACCCCTTGTCATGTAGTCACGTGTACTTGAGTATCGTCGAGGTCCTCATGTCTCCGCTGTAGTGTTCTAGCTGATACGTACCCACAGCTGCACATGGCAGCCTTCACATGGTCAGACGATTCAGGGAGGGTGTGGGGCGCAGTTCAGACCGCGTCTCAGGAAGCTTTGTGCAGATGCCTTCAGTGGCTGTGTCACTGTGAGTGACCAGCTTCGTTTCAGGCTGGGGAGTTGAGTGGATCTCTGCTCCCTCCAGGTGTGGTGGTCATTTGGGATCAAGACCCCCTAAATCTTGCAGAACTTCAGACGTGACTGGGTCCCTACCTGTACATGGTGATATAGAGGGGCTTGTCGGCCAGGTCATGGGGGGAAGCAGCTTTTTGAATTAACGTCTGTTCTTGACCTTGGTCTGTTCTTGCAGCTTCACACTGCAGAACATCCTGCAGGACATCTGGTTCTGAAGTGGCTCATAGAGCAAGATGGAAAGATGAGAGAGAGCGGAAGAGAAGGTAGGCTGTGGAGCTTGACCTTTCCTTGTATCGGATGTGGAATTTCAGTAATTTCTGGCTTCCCTAAACTTTACCCTGGTCTTTCAAGTTCAAATGAGAGTTTGTCGAGTATTTAAAAACGGTATCTGTGAGTAAGAAGTGTTTCAGTAGTAGCAAACAGTGCTTTTCCCTCTCTGAAATGGGTGTTCCTGAAATCCCTTAATTTCTTTCCCACTCTCCCTCCCTCTTCTTCCTCCTCTGCCACGTCAAACCTCTAAGCAGGCTTGGCCACTGCCCTAAACTGCCCTCGTATCCATATCCTTGGGGGTGGAGTCCCTGGATGGAGCAAATGGTTAAGGCACTGGACTGCTAACCAAAAGGCTGGCAGTTTACGTCTACTCAGAGGTGCCTTAGAAGAAAGGCCTGGCGATCTGCTTCTGAAAAATTAGCCTTGAAAACCCTATGGAGCACCGTTCTACTCTGACATACATGGGGTCACCATGAGTCAGGGTCGACTGGTCAGCAACTGAAAGAGGAAGAAATCCCCGGGGTTGCTGAGAGTGGGGTGGGGGAGGCCCCTAAGTGTGCTTATCTCAACGGAAAGGTGCAGTATTTGTCTCTAGTTTTGAGAAAAGGGTAAGTAGAAGAGCGTTATCCTCCTCAGAGAGTTTTGAACTGGTGCCTCTTTATTTGACCTTGAAGTACACGTGGCCCAGGAGTAAGCCAGTCCCTGGTGCTTTCTCGTTTCTTCTAAAACATAAACTGCTCTGCAGAAACTCGGGAGGAGGACAGCGTCTTTGATCTCATTGAAGAGTTGGATGCTGTTGCTTCTCCGTCCTGAATTCAAACTACATCTGCTGGTTTGGCCACTAAAGAGATTTTCCCTCACTGAGTCTAAACAGCGTGGGCTTTCTGTTGTCGTGTGGGGAAAAGATGACAGCCGTTGAGTTTATGTCTTGAGGCAAGTTGCAGTTCTGGTGGATGGTGAGGCAATCAGTATAGCGGTAGAACTGGCACTTCTCGGTCTACCTTTGAGAATAGGATCTTGGGGCTGTTTTTCACTGTTAATTTTTGGTGAGAGGTGAAGCTTCTTGAAAAAATAAATATTGGAAAAAAACTAATATATTGAATCATCTTTCCCATTATTAAAAAGTTGGTGCATACTCGAGCTAAGTTTATTTCAAAACAATTGTCTGGCTTACTCTTCAGGTGCAAAGAATTTTCCAGTGGTTTTTTTGTTTTTCCTCCCTCTTAATTAAAATGCACTGACAGGTCTAAAACATGCCTGTTTGGGCCTGATGCATTGGTCATTTTCATGTAACACTGAATGAGTGTCTAGCGGTTTTGGTTGTCTCTTGTTGGGTAACAAGCCACCTCAAAACTTGGTAGTTTAAAAGACAACAGTCTGGGTGAGAGCTTGGTGGAGCTTATCTCTGCTTCATGCAGAGTCATCTGGGGCTACTGGAAGCCAACAGCCTCAGTTCCTTTTCCTAGGTTGCTTGGGCTTCCTCACAACATGGTGGCTCGGTGCCAAGTGTGAGCGTCCCAAGAGAACAAGGCAGATGTGTGGTGCTTCCGTGATTTAGCCTCAGATGTCATATAATGTCGCTTCTGCCATACCCTCTCGGTAAAGTCAGTCACAAAAGCAATATTCAAGAAGAGCATGCAGGGCAGGAGATAATGTTTTGGTCATCTTTGGAAAATATTATGTGCCTCCCTGGCTAAGCTCTGTCCCTCTTTAGCAGGTACCATGAAAGACTGAACAGCCATAGACCTTCTTATCTTTCAGAGGGTCCTTACATCTGGGTCTGTACTTTTTCCTCATTGCTTCCCAGATCTCCTCTAAAGGCAGGTTCATTTGGATTTTTCTTTTTTTCCTTGTTGAAGGGAGGCTAGTTTTTATCATTGAATGACTTATACATGCTATGTACCATTGTAAGACCATAATCGTTTGCCTTCCAGATAGGCTGTCCCTACCTCCATCTGCATTAAATCCTGGCCTTCATAATTTCTCTTCTGTCCAGGAGTTAGTTGCACTTAGATGGCACAGTGAATAAGAGAATATACCAAGTCCATGTGTATCAGAAGTACAGGTACTCTCCCCGGCTTACAGTGTGTTTGAGTTACGACAAACCGCACTTACGACAGTCTGCTTTTTTAATTTTTAATTTTGATTTTTGGTACATCTTATTGTTAGCAGTCTGTACTACATACAGTGTTGCAGCATGTAATTTGCTGATGTAATCATTCTCACGTCCACTCACAGATGTTCAGGGTTATGATTTATAAAGATACTGATAATAAAAGGCAATAATAATGAAAACTAAAAAAAAAAAATTAGGTAGTCTACTTACATCAGAACTGACTTATGACAGAATCTTTGGAACAGAACCCCACTGTCACTTTGGGGACTATAATAACAGAAGGTGAATGGTATTTTTGATGGGAGGATGTCACAACATTGTAGAGAGAAAGTGCCAGGTAAAGCTCTGACAGTCATTGTGTGGATGCTAGTTGTGTTTGTGGCACCTTCTAGCTGAGCATTGCCCCGTGAGGGAAAATGCCATTTCAGCCAGACACGAGGGGCTGCTGTCAAACCTTCACATCCTGAATAGCTTTCAGATCACGGTTAAATCATTAAGTAGCACCGAGAAATGCAAACGTGACCAACCGAGGGTTTATAAGAATTCATTGTGTCTCTTGAGTAATTACCGCTAGACATAATTTAGGGTTTGAATCAGAGCTGAAAGAAATGTCTGTATTAAAAGCACCTCGTTTTTGTCACTAAATTGTAGAAATTGTTGAGGTGGTGTACGTTTTCTTATGTACGTTTTCATCATAACTATTAAAAGCACATTATTTAAAACACCTGGAATTTTGAGTGTTAAGAGAGTTTGGGTGAGAACTCTTCCATTAGCTTTTTATTAAAACGTAGTTGTAGGGTTAAGGGCGGTAGAGAAGGGGATTGGGATTTACGTCTTGGTATGTGGTGTTCACTAAGCTCCAATGTGTTTTGCAGGTTGTTTTGCGAAAACACTGGTGGAGCATGTTGGGATGAAGAATCTGAAGTCCTGGGCTAGCGTGAACCGGGGTGCCATTGTCCTCTCTAGGTGCGTACGCCTTGTGCCTTTCTCTACTCAGGAGCCCCATCCTGACACACTTTCTTCACATTCATCTCTCCATTCTAATACTGTTCCCAGTATTCCGAGTTACTCGTGGTCTGGACAAGCGTAGCAAAATTAGAGAGGAAGTGTAACTCTTTCCATCACTCGTTACCATGGTTTTCCGCTGCCCTCTGTGTTTGGATGTCAAGGATCATGTGTTAATGGCATTGGCAGGGTGTTGGAGCCCTAGGTGGGACAGTGGCTAAGAGCTCAGCTGCCAACCAAAAGGTCAGCAGTTTGAATCCACCAGCTGCTCCTTGGAAACCCTGTGGGGCAGTTCTGCTCTGTCCTGTAGGGTCCCTGTGAGTTAGAATCGACTCAGCGGCGATGGGTTTGGTTTTATCATGTGATTGTTGCACCACATTTATGGTTTTAATGAAAACACAGTTTTGTTCTTTTTAGTGAATAAATCTTGTTTCTCTGAACACGGTGACAAAGTTGTTTAAATGTGACCAACTTTATGTTTAATTTTCTTTCAGCGTTTTCAGCTATTCTGAAAATAGTCCCTCTTAGGAAAACAAACAAAACCATTTGCTACTGAAGTCTTCATGCTAATCGTATATCTAATTCAGTGCTGGAAACCCTGGTGGCGTAGTGGTTAAGAGTTCGGCTGCTAACCAAAAGGTCGGCAGTTCAAATCTACCAGGCCCTCTTTGGAAACCCTGTGTGGGGCAGTTCTCTTCTGTCTTGTAGGGTCACTATGAGTCGGAAGTGACTCGACAGTAATGGGTTTGGTTTTTGGTTTTAATGGAGTGCTGGCTGATGATGTGGGGATTGAGGCCTGTATTCAACTCGTCTGTTGTTCTCTGGACATTGTTACGTTGAGCTTATAATTTACAGGGCATTGAAGTTTCCATGTGCTTGATGCCTCAGTGAAACCCTTTTCAAGATATTCATTTGAAATAGATTCGTGTGTTGTTTTAAAGCAATCACCGTTGATCCTCCCCGCCCCCCTTGGTGTTATGATAGATTTGGAAAAACAGATACGTACTCTGATTTGAATTTCCCACATTCTTTCACTTGCAACTTGCTATGCGATTTAATCTGTACTGTTGGTAATTGTTGAGTTGTGTTTCTTCACTATGTAATTTCATCTGGTGCACGTATGCTCACACACACACACACATGAACACACAAACACACCACTGACCGTTCCTTTCTTCAGGTACACCAGTATCCCCAGCTAATGGGTAATGTAGATCAGTTTGTCATTTCTCATTAAAATTAGTTAATATTCCAGTTGATGATGAACAGCCAGAGTCCATTAGCTGAATCAAGAATTTTTTGATTTGAATTTCTTTACCAGGCATTTGGGGTGTTAACACTTACTAACGCATTCTTTCAGTAGGCTCAATTAACTAGAAATTTCAGTGATGCCATCAAATTAATTTATAAAGATTGCTCATCAGTCAGAGCTCTCTTGGGTGGATTTCAAATGGATAAGGAGGATATGCTACATTTACTGTGGAGCACCACTTCCGTTTGGAATATTGGAGGTTTTGAAGGGAAGTCAGACTATAGATAACTGACCAGTTGATTAATACAGGAATGTTTCGTTTCTTTTTGGTTTTGGAATATTATATAATGCTTAACTTGTTTGGTGAAATTTCCTACTTGTTTATATTTAATTTAAAACACATATGCATTTTTTTGACCAAACCTTTTGACAGTAGGTAGAAAAGTGTTCTGGCTGAAAAGAGAAAATTGGCGTTATTGTGCAGGCTGAGAAATCACTCTGGAGTGCAGGATGCCCCAGCATTTAAGAGCACAGGTTCTGGACGACTACCTGGCTTCCACTCCTGCTGGATCACTGTGTCATCCAGGGCAGATGGTTCAGCCTTTCTGAGCCCTAACTCACCTGGTTGTAAAATGAGACTAATGATAATCTCGGGACTGTTAGGAAGACTAGACATGATGTTGCCTATAGGAGGTTTAGCATTCTGTTTAGTGTGTAGCAACTGTTCACTAAATGTTAACTTTATTATCATTATGCATCCTTATGTGACGAAGTCTCTGCGTGGTGCAGACAGTTAACCCACTTGGCTGCTAACTGGAAGGTTGTAGGTTCAAGTCCACCCACAGGTGCCTTGGAAGAAAGGCCTGATGATCTGCTTCTGAGAAATTAGCATTGAAAACCCTGTGGAGCTCAGTTCTTTTCTGACGTGCACAGGGTCCCTGGGAGTCCGAGCTGACTTGATGGCACCTGGTTTGGTTTTTCCCTTGGTTATGTGACTGTGCGTGGAACCAAGGGTGAAAAATAAAAACACCTGCTAAGTCACAGCCCTGTTAAAAGGAGGCTTTACTTGTCAGCTTTCTCAGCCTTGCATTTGGCAGGCTGTGCCTGTTGCTTGTCTCCACAAGCAGTGGAGTGCCACTTGGTGCTGCTGACTTGCCCCCTCTTCACTGATGTGATGGGTGGTATTTGATCAGGGACTTTGGAAAACGCCAGGAGGTTGCTTTCTAGGACGTATCAGAGACCGACATTGCAGTGGGGTTGTGAAGGCATGGAGGGAGAATAGAGGTGCAGACTGGTGTTCTGCTCAGGTGCCTGTGACCCGCCTTGTCTGAGAAATTGCCTGGCTGGGACCTGTGGTGACAGCTCGCAAACAAGGCTTCAGAAAGCAGAGGCTGGGAGTTTAAGGGTGACATTAATGGAGCACCAGCTCAGTGCCAGGCTCTGGCCGTGTGCTTCATGCCCAGGATCCTTTGAGCCTCGAAACAACCCTGAGAGATAGAAGCTAGATGCTGTTGTTAATCCCATTTCACAGATCAGGAAACTGAGTCATAGGGAATTTGAGTAGCTCTTTGTTAATACAGCTAGTGGGGGGCAGAGGCCGGATTCACACCCGGCAGTTAAGCTCCATGGTAAAGTTCTTCATCTTTTCATGAAA